ATGGGGACATGGATGTTTGTTATACTAATTGTTCCTCATTTGAATATATTTAAACTTTTCCATAGTTACACACAGACTTATATGCATCTAAGTAAAAAAGTTAAACTCATTTAGTGACATAGGACACTACTGTGATTTCATACATTTTTAACCCTGTATTACATATTTTACTTCATGCAAGCATGGCGGGATTCTTATGGTAAGGCTACTTACTTCATGCTTTCATTCCTTGAGCCCAATACTTTGACCATTAGTGTTTCAAGCTGGTTATTTATTTTTTTTTCTTGTTATTAGATTAGCATTTTAAAAATATGAAGGATACTTGTCATTGCACAGGTTGTGGATACTCAATATTGCTTAGAAAAGGCTGGAAACAAATCTTCCCATTATGCTCAGAATCAAACTTTGAAGAGCAAAATATCCTAGGATTGCCTCTGAACTCTGCTTCTGAAGCCCTTGCAGAAAGAAAACACTGGGGTCAGGGTGATAGGTCTAATGATAGTTCTCCCTTCCAAGGAACAGTTGCTCTATTATTCTTTGAAAAGATCCAAGGAGACAAAGGTAAGCCATCAAATAAGAGTTATGCTTCTAGAGGAATTAGCAGATGCATAGTAAGGAGTTAGATAAATAAAACTTAGTCAACAAACAATAGAAGAAGAAATGTCTTCTTGACAAAATCAAATAAGTGAGGAAATTCTATGGAGGAAATGGTTAATGAAGTTCAAGAAAGTTAGAGTACACTGTTTTGTTTCTCAAACACACATCACATCCTCTATAACTAAGGAATAAGTTAAAAGAGCCACATTTACTTGAGAGTTTATCTCTCACTCCTTCCTCCCAAAATATGGTAGTGGAGGCAGTGAAGTTACTTCTGGTCTGGCTTTTGGAAGGTACAGAAAAGGTGTATATGTGATTTGAGGGTATTGGAAGCATGGGCCAGATCCCATATTTATATCCCATTATTTTCTTCCATGTCTACCAAAACATCAGAGATTTCTCCCTAAAAAGTCTTCACCACTTCCTAGGAAATTATTTCTGCAGTAGCCAAAATGTGTAATTCCTTTTTTTTTAAATTTTTCCTTTTTCCTTTTTATTTTGTGTTAATTTTTTTTTTATTTTTAAGGTTTATTTTTAAAATTCTAGTTAGTGTAATATTGGTTTCAGGAATGGAATTTAGTGATTCATCACTTATATAACACCCAGTGTTCATTACATGTTCTCTCCTTAATACCCACGACTCATTTAGCCCATCGCCTGCCCATCTCCCTTCCAGCAAACCTCAGATTGTTCAAAATGTGTAATTCTTAACTAACTACTTATTAGAGAAGATACCTGGGACTCACCAAAGCCTTGGAGGTATAAGCAAGATAAAGAGGGAGTTGCTAAAGTGGAAGAAAGAGAAGATGAGAAGAGGGCCAGAGACAATTTACTGTCTTTGCATTTTTTTTTGTTTGTTTTTAAATCTGTTTTTGGAAGAGTGGAAGGACATAGTGTAAAATTGTTGGGGTGGGGTGGGGGTGGGGTTCCTGGCAAACTGCAAAACAAATCAGACTATCAGGTCTTAACAACCCTTAAGACTAAAGAGAAAACATTCCCTCTGTCACTTTATCTCCTTTTCTGCCCATAAACTATATTCTAGAAAATACAGAGCATTGTCATTCAAATAAACTTGGTCAACAAGTGAGTGTGAGGAATAATCTTAGTAGGGTGTGGATATATGAGAGTCTATCTGTGGGAGAAGTGGATGGAAGGGGGTGGAGTAGAATGAGGGAAGTTCCTTATCTTTCTATTTGAGAATAGAATGCACCTCTCCAGGGAGAGAAAGGGAGAGTGAAGCCTCATGGGACTTATCTATGTGGGTGAGAATACTGAAAAAGAAATACTCAAGCTTATCATTTTATGAAAAAGTCACTAAATATACCTTGACTTTAGGAGGCAGAGAATATATAATTACAGAGACCATCTTTATTGCTAAAATGCAAATTATAAATTACATATGAAAATAAATTCCAAGTGCAACATTTTTCACAGTGTCTTGGAAGTAAAAACAGAATGATGATATAAAATGAAGTTACACAAAAGTTCCACTCATGTACTCTTTCAGATCAAGGTAGCTTGATCTCTTGTTCCTAGGACAAATGGCTCATTTTTTAATGGAATTACACGTTAGTAGAATTAGCTGCTTATCTGAGTGACAATGAAAAACTTTAAACCATTTGAATATAATAATAATAATAATAACAATAATGACAATAATAGTAACATGGAAATCACCCCATATTCAAAATCTCTGGTTTTGGAATAATTACATGTATGTAGCTTTTGGAATCAGAACTCAAAAAACTTTATATAGGAAATGTGAGTTTATTTATTTTGAATTGTATATTACTATAGTTGAGGATGCTTACTTTTGCACCTTGGTTTCATTGACCCAGAGAGTGATAAATGGGAGATTCAAAAAGATTTTCCAAGGAAAAGAGAAGCTCAGAGAGGAGACTGCTGTCCAGATGGCAGCTGCAGTAGCACATCCCTCTGACTCCTAACAACAAAGCTTTTCTCCTGAAAATAAAGTCCGGAGTTGGAAGGGGAAAAGTCAAAAAGAAAAAGGAAACAAGCAGAGACATGTGAAGCTGATATATTGTGATACAGATAGATGATAGATGATAGATAGATAGATAGATAGATAATAGATAGATGGATGAAATATATATTTCTTAAAATTACTGCAATCAAAATAGGTGATCACTTATTATGCAATTTGAAAGACACTGCTGTAAAATTCACTTTCTTAAAAAAATCTTCCCCTCCAGCTTTCTACAGTGTCATTCAACGTCCCATTAAAAGTAAGGGATTAACACTTTGAGTTATAGTTTATCCCTAAAACTTGAATTCAGGTATCCCAGAGCAAGTTAATATTAAACTAACATTAGTCACTAGCACCTAAGTATGAATAAATTGATCAGATTACTGACTAGAAGAACAAGGGAATAGGACAGGAGGAAAAATGTATTGATGGAGAAGAAAAGTAAATAAAGTAAATTACATTTAATACAAACCTAGATGGGCAGACCTGGGGAGAAGTCGTGGTCCTAGATACACAGCATCATAATACAAGACACTTATCCTCTGCTCTAATGATGTAAATGATCTACAAAAGCTTCTGGACCACCAATAAATGGGCTCTAACCCCTTCAACCATTCCTCTAAGAAATTCATTAATGTCCTAGAAATATTTCCTCTCCTTTTTAGAAAAAAATAGGTGTTTAAAGTAACATTAATACATTAATAAAATTAAATCTCTGGTACCCCAAAACGACCCTAGAAAGTGTAATCCATATTAATCTAAAAAATACTAAAAAAATGCTATAAACAAGACTCTTTCATTATAAGTACCCACAAAATTATTACTTGTGATCCCATTAAAACATTAAATTATATTCAAACACAAATCACTTTAAAGCAAACAGACCAGACATAGTTACAGTTCCTCCCTTTAAAACACAATTTAACACTCATTTAGAACTCTTATAATACATTACAATATGTACATTATGATGAATAATAAGGAGATAAACACACCATTGCTAGCAGCACAAAGTCTGTTTTCTAATAAGGTATTATTTTAATAACAAAGTAAAATCAATACTTGTCTAAAAAAAACATTTGAATATTTTCCATTCCTCTCATATGCTAGAATTAATTTTGATTTGCCAGTTTCTCCCAAATCATGTTAGTATCATAATTGTGTGCCTAAAACAACTCCTTTCCAATGAAAATATGATGGAGCCTTTGGTTGATTTCTACATTCCTTCTAGATGAGAAGTAGCATGTGTCTTTATTATATAGCACACAGATTTTTAAGTAGATCATTGTTTTAAATTAGAGCTTTTTGATAAAACATATTTCAAGGTACTATAATATTTTAACTTCAGATATAACTGTGACTCATATCTTGGGTCTGCTACCTGCATACTAGTACCAAACAGGTAACAGGCAAATAACTGTAAGGGGAGTCCAATGCTGTCAAAATTCATCTTCTGCACTTTTATTTTCTCAAAAATGGTGAAAGAATCTCCTTCCATAGCGCTGGGAGGTAGGCTGTGTAGGACTCACAATGGTATGACTGAGGCAAAGCTGGCCCCCCAAAATTTCTGAAGCCTCTAGGGTCCACCTGCCTGTTTGCCTTCAGTTCATGAAGGTGGCTTGACAATCATCATTTAAAGTAATAAATACAATGTGGTGAGACTTTTAAGAGGTGTACCCATCCCTTCATCTTTTTATTCTGGCCTAAGCTCAGTAATTAATTAATGCACTACTTCTTTCATAAGCTCAAATAGTGCAGTATCCTGTCAGAGATATTCGGTGTTACTCTAGAAAGATGGTGGAAACTCTCTCTATTAGGCAGGTCCATACATTTCAATAGGTATTCTTCAGAAATAGCTTAAGAGAACTGGAACTCTGATTGTCACTTATCTGCCATCTCCCAGACCTATAGAGAAAATTTAGGTTACATTGCATGTACTTTGGTGAGCTATCTGATCTAGGTGGATTCAATAAGACATCTTATATAATCATAGAGGTTACTGTATATGAATTTGTTTCTTTTTCTTACTTTAAACATACCAGAGGCCTGAGCTCAGATTTTCATTTTATGAATAAGTGTGACATGATGTTTCATATTGACACCTAAATGAAGAGAATAGTTACTTGAGTCTTCAAACCCTAGGGTATAATCACACATGGGAGATAAAAATAGTCCCATATTTATACTGCTCTGTTTTCACAGAATAACAAATTGCCCATCCTAGTTGAAATACACTAAAAATATGGTATTTGAATATAAACTGTGATTACCAGTATAAATAGAAAACTACATTGCCTCTAAGTACAGAGACTCAGTGTCCATTGCGGCAAAATTAAGTGCTTATTATGAGCCCAGGCTAATAGTATTTCTGTGTCTTAGGTTCCCATATATATGACTCTAATTGAGTGCATATATATATATAGAATGTCACCGAAGTTTTACAGTTCAAATACTGACTTAATAACAAATTATTACACAGACATATCAACAACAGTGATGGTGGAATACAATGCTTTAAAAACAGGTTCTGTTACAAAGGTGTGAATTCGTCATATAGGTAAGATAGAGCATAAATGAACAGCAGTGAGTGCTTCCTGTAATTACTTTCCAGTGGCTTGGGGTATTATAAATATGTTCTGATATACTTGCATTTTAGACCACATTCAGGTTTTGTTTTAATTTAGCATAATTCAGTTGTCAGAGTAGAAGTGGTATGGTTGCTTACAAAGGATTTTGCATGGAGTTGGATACTATCTTGTCTTGAAAGTCGTCTTCTGAACTCATTAGTGGTGAAATAGTATATGACTGGGTCAAGACAGGAATTCAGACTAGCAAGACAGAGGGCAACAGAATGAAATATTAGAATCACCTTTCTGGCTAGGCAGCTTTGAATTTTGTTGGACTTGACCAGGAAATCTAAAGGAAAGCTGAAGTGATATGGTGCAAAGCAAATTAGGAATACTCCTGCACAGGTTAAAATCATCTTCAAGGCTTTTTTTTTCTCCCCAAGGTCTTGGGCCACAGGATATTTATCATGCAGTGATAAAACTGTCTTCCAGGTACAATATACAACAATTAGAAGAGGAGTGACAAACCCAATCAACTCGCCAATGGTAATCATGGCAACAGAGTGGGCCAGATTGACATTCCTGGTAGGAAGATCCACAAAGCATTTGGTTCTGTTGCCTGAGGTGTCATCACTGGTTCTGAGGAGAGGAAAGAGCAGACAGGCAAGGCAGATGATCAACCAGCCAGCAATGCTGATGTATAGATCATATTTCTGTTTGCAGTCATGGAAGCGAAAGGGGTACATGAGAAACCAAAATCGTCGCACACTTATGCAGACCAAGAAGTAGATGCTTGCATACATGTTGACATACTTCAGGTAGAAACAGAACATGCAGAGGCCAGGCCCAAATGGCCAGTCATAATTCAAGTAGTAAAAGATCCTTAGTGGCAGGGAGAGAACTTGCAGTAAGTCAGCAATGGCTAAGTTTATCATGAATATCACAGCCCGTTTGGTTTCTTTCATATAGCCGTAAAATACCCATAAGGCTAATGTATTCCCTATGAGACCTGGCACAAGAATTACAGTGTATGTCACTGCATAGATAAAATATCGAGAATCTGTCTTAGATCCTTCTGGCCCAGCACATGTGTAATTTGCAAGCATGTTTCTTCCCAGAGCAACTGTCTGCCAAATAGTGGATCTAAATATAAATTCACAATTAACTGCCACTCTTCCTAAAAGACTAATTATGAATGGGTGATAGAGAGTGAGTATAACTGCATTTACTGCATTGATCTGAGCCTCTACACATAATTTGGGGACTTTTCAAAGAACTATTTGCATATTTGCTTTGGATTTTTTTATAGTAATTACACTGAAGTCCAGTGTGCAAGCACAGATAACAAGCTGTTACAATTTCCCCCTTTTGTTTCCTGTTATAAGACCTTCTGGGACATCATAACAGTTGACTCTCCCATTTGGACCATGAATTGCTACGTAGCAGCTCTTCAACTTTCCATATGATGATAGCCATCTCTTTACAGGTGTTTGACAGGCTGTTTTTTTTTATGTTTGCCTCACGTAGAAGAAAGGATTGTTTTAGTACTCAGTAAGTCCGCAGTTCTTCAGAGATGATTAATTTGGATAGATCAGTTTTCCAAGACTTTTTCAGCTATGTGTTGAAAGCTTAAAAATGGGAAACAAAGGCAAAGCTGCAAGTGAAAAAACATATAAGTCAATTAATTCTGGGACTTCTTGCAAAAAAAGAAAAAGCCTATGTGTACAAAAATCTATGAAGGAAAATTCTGATGTAAGTGAGGGTGACAAGCCAGTTTCTATAAGTTTCTTTAGAATTATAAAAAACTATAGCTAGAAGTCACTTGAAAGGTAATATAGTCTCTGACTGTGAACCAACTTTGTTTGAGAGCTTGTTAGAAATGCCAAAGACTGTCAGGATATAAAATCAATGCACAGAAATCAGTTGCATTTCTCTACACCAACAACAAGACAGAAGAAAGAGAAATTAAGGAGTTAATCCCATTTACAATTGCACCCAAAGCATAAGATACCTAGGAATAAACCTAACCAAAGAGGCAAAGAATCTGTACTCAGAAAACTATAAAGTACTCATGAAAGAAATTGAGGAAGAAACAAAGAAATGAAAAAAATGTTCCATGCCCATGGATTGGTTTTTTTAATAGTAATTACTCTGAAGTCTAGTGTGCAAGCATGTGTGAAAATGTCTATGCTACCTAAAGCAATATACACGTTTAATGCGATCCCTATCAAAATGACATCCTTTTTTTTTTTTTTTCAAAGAAATGGAACAAATAATCCTAAAATTTATATGGAACCAGAAAAGACCTTGAATCACCAGAGGAATGTTGAAAAAGAAAGCAAAAGTTGGTGGCATCACAATTCCAGACTTCAAGCTCTATTACAAAGCTGTCATCATCAACACAGTATGGTACTGGCACAAAAACAGACACATAGATCAGTGGAACAAAATAGAGAGCCCAGAAATAGATACCCAACTCTATGGTCAACTAATCTTTGACAAAGCAGGAAATAATGTCCAATGAAAAAAAGACAGTTTTTTCAACAAATGGTGTTGGGAAAATTGGACAGTCACATGCAGAAAAATGAAACTGCACCATTTCCTTACACATACACAAAAATAGACTCCAAATGGGTGAAAGACCTCAATATGAGAAAGGAATCCATCAAAATCCTTGAGGAGAACACAGGCAGCAACCTCTTCAACCTCAGTCACAGCAACTTCTTCCTAGAAACATTGACAAAGGCAAGGAAAGCAAGGACAAAAATGAACTATTGGGACTTCATCGAGATCAAAACCTTTTGCACAGCAAAGAAAACAGTCAACAAAACCAAAAGACAACTGACGGAATGGGAGAAGATATTTGCAAATGACATATCAGATAAAGGGCTAGCATTCAAAATCTATAAAGAACTTATCAAACTCAACACCCAAAGAACAAATAATCCAATCAAGAAATGGGCAGAGGACATGAGAAGACATTTCTGCAAAGAAGACATCCAGATGGCCAACAGACACATGAAAAAGTGCTCCACATCACTCGGCATCAGGGAAATACAAATCAAAAGCACAATGAGATACCACCTCACACCAGTCAGAATGGCTAAAATTAACCAGTCAGGAAATGACAGACATTGGACAGGATGCTGAGAAAGGGGAATACGTGGAAATGCAAGCTGGTGCAGCCACTCTGGAACACAGCATGGTGGCTCCTCAAAAAGTTTAAAATAGAGCTACCCTATGACCCAGCAATTGCACTACTGAGTATTTACCCTAAAGATACAAATGTAGTGATCCTAAGGGGCACGTGCACCCAAATGTTTATAGCAGCAATGTCCACAACAGCCTAACTATGGAAAGAACCTAGATGTCCATCAACAGATGAATGGATAAAGAAGAAGTGGTATATATATATATATAATATTATATATATATATTATGCAGCCATCAAAAGAAATGAAATCTTGCCATTTGCAAGGATGTGGATGGAACTAGAGGGTATTATGCTTAGTGAAATAAGTCAATCAGAGAAAGACCATTATCATATGATATCCCTGATAGGAGGAAGTTGAGAGGCAAAGTGGGGGGCTTGGGGGTGTAGGGAAGGAAAAAATTAAACAAGATGGATCAGGAGGGAGAAAACCCATAAGAGACACTTAATCTCACAAAACAAACTGAGGGTTGCCAGGGGTGGGGGTAGAGAGAGGGTGATTGGGTTATGGACATTGGGGAAGTTATGTGCTATGGTGAATGCTGTGACGTGTGCAAACCTGGCGATTCACAGACCTGTACCCCTGGGGCTAACAATACATTATATGTTAATAAAAAATATTTTTTTAAAGAAATGCCAAAGATTCTTAGGCCCACCTGGGACCTCCTGAATAAGTCTACAGTTTAACAAGAGCTGCATGTGATTTTTATGCATATTAACATTTGAGAGGCTCTGATTTAGACTACTGAGTCACAGATCACATTGTCAGACTCATCTGATGGAGTTAAAAAAATACAACTTTCTATGGCTTTCCTAGTGTCTCCTTCAGAGATTCTGATTCAGTATACAAGGCCTCGAAATCATATTTTTAAAAACTTCCCATATGATTCAGTTATAGTCAACTGAGCATTTCTCCTTGAACCACCATTATAGGGGCCACTGACTTGGTCAAAATCCTTCTCAGGTGTCTGAAAATAAGTGGGTAACCAGCTTCTCTTTTAAATATTTTACATGGGTCATTCAGTCACCTATCAATTATCCAAGATAAGAGATCATAGTACTAGTAGAGAGAATAAAAATCCCAAGATAGTTGACTAAGCTGGACCCATGACCTTTGTTCTAAGGTAAACCAAATTTTAGCTTAGGGTCTCAGTTGCCTTAAGGCTGCTGAAATTCAGGAAGATTTAACTGACTTTAAATATATGTGGGAAGAACAAAAATGAAATAGGAATTATGAAACATTCTGCTTTATATTATCAAATCTATGGATTTTAAAGTGTGCTTGATTTAACCCCTAAAGGAATTGTTTTGTTATTATTTTGCCTCAATTGCTTGTTAAGAAAAATAGCACATTTTGTTCAAAACTGTCATGCCCTTTTTAACTAAAGGGCCTGATGAATGATATGAACTATGCATCAGACTGAAGAGGTTAAACACCTGAGATTTCTTAGGAAGGACAAAGTAGGGAAATGGAATTATAAGATACAAGGAAGCACAGCTTTAAAGAATAACATATATATTGAAAGTGATTAAAATTAGAGATTGTTTAGTTCTCAAACTGAAATTCATCTTTATAATATTTTCACAAGTACTAATTTTAGATAGGTGACAGGCAAAATCAGGTGGCAGACCAAACAATCAAAAGCCCTGGGTTTTCAATCTCTTAACTATTTATACAGAAGTCATTGTCTTTTAATGTCATTGAATAGACAGTAGTAGTTTATACAAATATACATCCAATCAATCTCTATTGAACACCCATCTTCCTTATCATGAGCAATGACTCTTAAATCTATATTTCTTTTGAGTTGTAGCTCTCTTTCCAACTATGTATAAGAACTCTTCTCTTGAATGTTTCATTATCACCTTGAAATTCAACACATGAACATGAAGTTATCTTTAATATTTATTCAAATTATGTCTTATCTTATCAGATTATGTCATGTCTTTGATAAAAATATCTTAATGACTTTTCCTCTCATTTAGAGGAAGACCAAAGTTCTTTACAATGGCTTGCATTTTTTGGATGCCTGAATGGTGCAGTCAGTTAAGCTTCCAAATCTTGTTTTCAGTTCAGGTCAGATCTCAAGATTGTGAGATCAAGCCCCATGTTGGGCTCCATGCTCACTGGGGAGCCTGCTCATGTCTCTCTCTTCCACTGCTCCTCCCCACTCTCTCTCTACCTCTCCCACTCTCTTTCTCTAAAATAAATAAATAAATCTTTTTAAAAATGGCCTTCATCCTACATGCTCTGGCCCCTATTACTCATCTGAGCTCACATTCTAACATTCTCCCTCTTGTACTGTCCTCCAGCCACTTTGCCATCCTTGCTGTTAGGGGAATGGACCAGGTACATTCCTGCCTTGAAGCCTTTGAATTGGCAGTTCCCTGTGCCTGAGATGCTTTAGTCCAGTTATTCACTTGTTCATTCGCTCACCTCCTTCAGATCTTTACCTCAATGTTACCTTTCATGAGACTTCCCCTGACCTTTCTATTTTAAAACTGCATCTCTCCAACATTTCCCATCTCCTTCAGTATTTTATTTTATCCACTTTCAACCATAATTAATATACTTTATGTTTATATTTTTTACTTTTTTTTAATATATTTTACCTACTAGAAAGTAAAGTCCGAGGAGAGGAATTCTTGTGTTTGTCCAGTTGCTGTGTACCAAAACCAAAGACTGTGCAAGACATAAAGTGCTCAGTGTTTGTTGATTGAAATAGTTTCAGTAAATAAAAAATATGACTATAGAGATCAATAGTCTCAAACAAAAATTATCATCTCTCAAAACTTCAAACCTGATTCTGCTCTAGACTTCCTTATTTCTATTAAGCTCATCAATATTTTCCCAGGTTGTATCAAAGTCTTGGAGACCTTGACTCATTGTCACTTGTTCTCCACTTCCAAACAAGTTTCTAAGGGGGAGACAGTATACTATGGGGGAAATAATGAATGTTTAGAAGTCAGAATGACCTCAGTTTAAATTCTTGTTCTTTCTATTGTTCTGTGACCCAGGGTATATCACTAAAGCTCTCTGATCTCTAATTTTTTCATTGGTAAAATGAGAAAAATCATAGTATCTAATGTACAGAAACAGTTTGAAAATTAATTGAGCTGCTGTATGTAATATATTTAGCATAGTGTCTAGTACATAATAAACATGAGTTATTATAACTGATCCTATTACTATTTTCTGCAACTGCCTTATTTCTCACAACCATCTCATTTTTGAAATTTGCATTGTTTTCACACTAGTTCAGGCCTTTATTACTGAATTTGTCTCCCTATCCTATATCTTATCCTTCCCTATTATGTATAATGCCATTAGAATTTTTTTCTAAGATGAACCTTTTAAAGAGAATTAATGACTCCCTATTACCCATCAAATCACAAAGTACATAGTCTTGTAGTCAATTGCTTCCTTAAAGCCATTGTACCTT